CATATCCTCAGACTCGCTTATGAATCTTGGGCCAGATACACTTTAAAACCAGTCACTGACTCCATTGACCACAGTACAATGGCTCCTGATCCTCGCCACAACATGTGAAGGAAGAATTGGCTCCACTGGCTTTTGGTTCAAAAGCTGGAACAGTTTTCCAGAATATAGTGTACTTTTCCATGTAAAACCTTCCTTCTGAAAAGACCCACTCCCAGTGGTCATTCAAGGCTGATTAGGCAGATGATAAAGCCTCATATACATCTCCATTGCTTTTCTTCCCATTCCCCCTGCCAAGACAACCCAGGTATGAGGAAGGAAGCTGGATTCTATTTCACCGTACGCATCATAAAATGGAAATCTTCCTTGGCTTCAGTCAGTGACACCTGGACATACCACAGGTAAGCAGTGGATTACCTGGGCTATAGGGTGGCTGAGTATGGCCTGCAGAATCTTTCTGACTGCTTATGATGGAAGCCCTGCATTTACCTCTGAGGGCCTTTTTACACATGCAAGCACTCCAGCAGAAGATACTTTGAAAAGTGCCCAGCACTGCATTGTGGACAGTTGTGTAAGTGGCAAAATGTGCATCGGCGTGCAGAAAACGGCAGTGGCGCACTTTTGAACTAAAACACATTGATGGTGCTTTAGCTCAAAAGTGCACCGCCGCTACTTTCTGCATGCTGACGCACATTTGGCCACTTATACAACTGCACAGTGCAGCACAGTTCATCTTGGCTTGTGTACAGAGCACACTCAATTAATTGAGCCTGCTCCAAAGCTGCAGATCTCCAGCGCATCATGGGACAAAAAAGTATGTATTACAAATGCCCTATGATCCCAGGTGGGTTTGCAACACAGAGAGTGTGTGTGTGTGTGTGTGTATGTATGTATGTGTGTGTGTATGTGTATATATATATGTATATATATATATATATATATATATATATATAAAAAATATGTATGTATTTTTTTTTTTTACTTGCAATCTCAATATGCTTGAGGTGGAATCATTGAAGGATGATGAATGTGGAGGTAATTTTTATGAGATGCACTTCTCAGTACTACACTCTGTGAAATCTCCTTGGCACCTGGGCCTTTTTGTTTCCCATATCCAGCTGTCCTACTTGGTTCATGGCGAATTGCTGGGTGCAATGCCAGTGAGTTTAGTCACAACTCCTAACTACTTTGAGGAATAACAGTCTTATATTAGGGCACGAGTCTGTGCTTTGGAACACCTGGGTCCTGTTCTCATCTGCCCCACTGTCATGTGCAACTTGGGTAAGATGTTTCACCTCTGGCTTTTCTCCAACCCAGTGTCTATTTTGCTTGTAGGTTCTCTGGAGTGATTCTGTGTGGTTTGCATAGCACCTAGCATAAGGGAGGACCCATCCAAAATTAGGGCTAAAGGTGCCACTATAGTAGAACAGGGCCCAGTATTTAACAGGAAGCCAAAACACTGCTTGCATATATGTTGTAGTGTTGTCTTAGACAGGGGAGAGATGTGTTGTATTGTCCAGGCTACCCCCACATATTTCAAATGAGGGAGACTGTAGGTGGCTGGAGTGCCATCATGGCCTGGTTAAAGTTTAATGGATTATGTCTGATCTTATGATGGTCCTGATTCAAAACTTGAAGTGCCAGGAAAGATTCCCACTGGCTTCAGTAGAATCTAATTCCTTTTCAGTGTGCCTACCATTTGTTTGTTCATTTTGTTTTTTGTGGGGGTTGTTGTTTTTTGCTTCTGCTTTCACCTCTGTCAAACGCATGCTAACATGCTCTACTGCTGGGTTTGCTAGTGTGACTAGGTCATCAAGTCCAGGGCAGTAAGAGTGGAGTTATGAAATGAGGGGAAAGAAATGCTAAAACACCTGGAAAACATGCACCTCCACACAGATGTGTGCAACTATGCATAGGAACGCTTGCACAGAGACCTTACACCAAGAGGGGAGGCAAGTTTAGAGTCTAACAGGCTGAAAAGCTCCTTTCCCGTCCCCCTCTTTTTTTTTTTCCCCCCAATCCTTTTCCTTGCAAGATATTCCTTTGACAAGCCATATATTCAGTGCTTTGATGTATGGCAGGCTCTGCTGGGATAATACGGCCTGCCTCAGAACTGCCCTGGTGCCAAGAATGCTGCGGCTTCTTTCTCTCTCTCTCTTTCTTCCCTCCCACCCCCATTTTCATCCCCTTACACTGACTCTTACAAGGGGCAGGGTACACGGGGAAGTGCAGGCCTCCACTAATCCCAGTGGGTGCAAGATCCTTTTAATTTAAGAGTCTCTCAGCATCCTAGACCCAGGCCTGTGTACAGCAGATCTCCAGTCCTGCAGGCAAACATGTATCTCCCTGCCAAACAGCAGAAATAATAGAAGTTTAAAGGTGGAAAAACCTATTGGGTCATCTCTTCCTAGTGTGTCTAGGGCAGGATTGTTCCCTAAGCTATGCTCTCCAGTGCTTTGTCTAGCCTGGCTCTCAATGACTCTAGTAATAGGGCTCCTTCTCCTTCCCTAGAGAGTATATTCCACGGTCTAATGGATCTGGCTATTAGATGGTTCCTGATAGTCCCTCTAAATTCCCCTTGCTTAAGTCCATCCTGTTACTTCCAGTCTTTATATGGGGTGTGTGCTTCTCTCCATGCTCCGGGCCACATTGGCTGGCATAAACCATCAGGGTCCCATTGCTGTCCACAGAGCTATAATGGTTCTGCATCAGCTTGACTACATGACCTCCTTTGACTTTCTCTGTGTATGAATTTCCAGATTTTATTTGTTCCCAACTATGATCTTCTTGGCCACAGCACTGTGCCCAGCTGGTATTTCAGAAAGATGCCCCTGGATTACCTTCAGGATCCAGTTGACATTCTGTCATCTAAGAACCCAAGCCTCGGGGTCCCCAGAGGCAGTCTGGCTGTCACAGAGAAGAAGCCTGGGCGGTGCTGGTGCCTGTCGGGAGAAGCCATTCTTTCAGTGCTCCCCAAAAAGCAGGGAACAGACGGTCCTGCCAGCTCCAGCAGATGGCATGTAGGCAGCACAGTAGAGTGCACTGGCTGACAAAACCAGGCAGAGAGATGTAGTGCACAAGCTGAAAGGGATGAGCTGACAATGAGGAAGGGAGAGGGGATGGCCAAGTTTCATGAAATTCAGCCTGAGTGTAAGTCTTCAGTAACCTAATGAAGCAGGAGCAACTAGGGCACCAGCCCTGGGTGCAAACCCATGGCAAAAGGGGATTAAAAGAAAACAGCACTGACACTGTTCCATGTACCACTGCCACCCAAGGTGCTCAAGTGTTCAGTTACTTGGCACAGTTGAAACTTGGTTTACATGCTACAAGGAACCAAACTGCAATAGAGAGAGAGACTAGAGAATCCAGCCTGGTGTGTCTTTAACTTCCGTGACTTGCTGTATAGATGGAAATGGACTGTGTTTATTATCTAGGTCTCTGATCCATGCTACCTCTGGGCTGAGTTCTTTCTTAGGTGATGGTAACCCGGACCAAAAAGTAAACCAGAATCTAGTCAAATTGGGGCCTGAGAAGGGGAAAGGAGAATACTGAGCATATCCAGGTATGGAAAACCTGTCCTTGGGTCATACTTAGACTCATCAGCTGTTATGGTGTCCTGACAGGGACACCTTATGATGGAGAGCATGACTGACCATCTCCGGTTTCTATTGCTTGGCCCACTAGCCGTGCCAGCTCTTCTCTTTAACATGTTAAACTATACCTTATGTAGCTGAACAAAATGGCTCTGTCTAGAGATGATTGTCTTGGGAGAGGGGTACAGTCAGGTGGCTACAGATCATAGCCCTAGCCTGTACCCAGTGCCAGTGCCCAAGCATCCTCCTGGCAAACTGCTGCAAATGGAGTGGGTGTTCCATCTTTTGTTGGTCACTGATATGTACAGGGCTTGCAGGGGGGAAAGACTGGTTCAGGGATGCATCCAAGAATCAACTACAACTCTTCTAGGTGAGATCACAATCTGCTCTTGTAAAAGTCTACAATGGTGTTCTCAAGACCATGCACCAGATAAGGTATATTTACCCTGCTGATTTGTAATGCAGAGGTACCCTACTAGCTTCAAATGTGCTAACTTGAGTACTAGAAATGGTCTAGTAGCAAGGAGGCCTGTGGAGTCATTTTCCCCTGTACTCATGCCCAGAATACTTAATTTGGGCATCTGTAGAGTGTGTTACTCTGCACTGTAAGAATACCCATGTACCACCTTCCAGCCCCTGCAGGGTCTGTGTCCTCTGTCAGTAAAACCTCCAGTTGTACCCTAATGGATATTCCCTTCCAGTACTGTAGCAAGTGGGGGGGCAAGCAGGGCAACCACCCCAGGTACTGAAACAAGGGGTGCCAACAGGCACTGCCCAGCTGGGATGGGCTGCAGGATGGAGCCATGAGCAGCTTGTTTGGGGGTTGCAGGGATGAGGGGGGAGGACAACTCCCGCTGCTGCATGCACTCCTAGGTAATCATGGTGGGGCCTGTGCCCTCTGGATCTGTGCATGGGGTGAGGGTGGGCTTTGCCCCAGGTGCCCAACTTCCTTGCCACAGTACTGTTCCCTGCCTTCCCTTCCACAAATCCTGCTTGACTTTGTACTTTTGCACTACAACATTGGCAGAGTTTGAATTTGAAACCCCTTCCCCATTTTCCTGACAACCCCCCCTCTACTAACTGAGCTAGGTATCCTGGTTTCCCAGTCCCATGGCTTCTGGGCTTCACAAGAAGATGGGAGGAGGCAACCAAAAGTGTGGGTGTGTCCAGCAAAGTTCAGTGCTACAAGCAGGAGTGGAGGGAGAGTGATTCTGACATTGCTTTGTATAGGGCTCTGCTAATCCCATGGCCAGGTTGCAAAAGAGGCTGCCCTGTCTCTTCCCATTTCAGGATGACCTGAGTGGGCTAAGTCAAACCCCATTAGGACTATCACATGATAAAACTGCTTGAGCCAAATGGCACTGAACCCAAGGCATTTGATCCTCCCGGGATTATGACCTACAGCCCCACCTCATGAGACAATCAGTAGCATCCACACCAGGTCTGGGCCCAGAGCAGGAGTGCATCCTTAACAAACAGATCCAGCCAAGTGCACCATATGTGACTGTCCATTTCTGTAGGCTGATCACGCCTCTCCTGAGGAGACAGGGCTCTAGGATTCACAGAAGGAGGGAAACAATGCAAAACTCAAAAATTTCACTATGCATTGGGCTCCTCTAGCAGTGTGTGACAGATGGTGTGCTGGCCCTGGTGCATGCACCATAAACATTTCCTATCGGGGGCTGGACATGAGACATTGCCACCATGAACAATGACAGTATGGGGTCAGCTCAGGCTCTCTGTGCAGCTTTTACTTCAAAATGTGCTATGTAATGTGACATTGCACCAATGGCCCCCGACTGAAGCAGCCTGAGCACTGCCATCCAGACCCATGTGCAAGAGGGTAGGGGAAAAAGGCAGCTAACACATTTGCTGTAAATTTGGCTGCCTGCAAAGCCAGTATGATCCATCTCTTGCTGTCATCAGCATTTCAAGTTACGTGAAAAGCACCAATTGCATCCATACAGAACGCTTGGAAGGGCAGGAGGAGAACACTGCTAGTTTATCTGAGGCACAGGCAGACACTGGGACTCTGTTTCTGTGGGGGTACACCCACTAGGGTACTGAGAGGTGAAAATAAGTATATATAACTAGTGGGGGTGGGTGGGTGAGCGTGTGGATGTGCACACATGTAAGTAGGCTTGTGTGTCAGTCTATGATCATGGTTGTCCAGTTGGATGGGTTTGCATACGTCCATTCAAGTGTGTGGATCTGTGCTTCTGCCTGCACATCTGTCTGTGTG